TTGCCAGCTTTTGTTCTACACGACAAGTAATGACCGTCTGAATGAGTCATTTAACCTGTAAAATTTTTAAAGAGATTTTCCTTTAGCAATTTTGTAAGAATGACATTTCCTTATAGGAAGGGCATTCCTTGAAGGAGGAAGGCCCACCCAGAATAAGAAGACCATGGCATTTCTGCACTGGAACATTTCTGAGAAGGCAAAATGGGTAAGTGCTGTGTGCTTCCTCCTGCAGAGTTTCTGTTCAGTGGGAGTGACTTGGTACACCCAGTTGTTTTGTTGGACATGCCTGCACATAAATTAAAGAGCCCAATGTGTAAATATGAGTAAAGAGCTCTTGTGGAAATGAAAACAAAAAAGAAAAGCAACATACTGGGCTCTCTGTAGGCTCCAAAGCCTGTTCCCACTCTTTGTACAACCCTTTAGAGGAGTCCAAAGATGAAATACATCATCAAGCATCCCTGCAACTCATACTTACTCAGAAAGATTTAAGCTGCTGGGAGTCCAGATCAGGTATGAAGTGCCACATGTTGCCACTTCTATATGAACTGGGTGGCATTTCAGACAGCGCATCTTTTTTTTTTAAAGGTGTGGCAACACTACAAAAGGAACATGCAAATACAGTTCTTCACCACAAGGAAAAACTAACACATTAACATAGTGGTGGTATAATACAGCCTAATTCCATAAATGCCTGACTGATAGAGGTCTGCATTGAAGTTTCTGCTGCTGCTGTCTTACAGCAGTAAACAAGTAGACAGTAAACAAGTTTGGAGCTTTGCTTCAAGCTGAGAACTGTGATAGTCATAAAACAAAATGCTTCGGCCAGGCACATCCTTATTGTTCCAACAGGACCTGATGCTAAAAGCATCATTCCCAGAGCACGTTGAGGGTAGACAGAACTTGTGCAAATGCAACCAATACTACAGAAAACTACACATCCTGTATCAGATTGCCACTTAAAAATAAAAACCAACCAAACAAAAAAAACACACCTAAATCTGGTGGCAGATGAACAAGTAGAGAAGAAAGTAAAGAGGAACCTGCACTCTGTTCCTAAGGCCAGAGAAGAAATCTGTCGTAGCAGGGGCTCCCAAGCTTGTGGCTTGACCAGTGAATTATTGCAGCTCCCAATGCTTGTATAGGGAAATTTTAGCTGCCATGGCAACCACTTTTTCTGGTTGACTACACTGTGATAAATATTCGATTAAACCCTTTCTATTTATGCCTCCAATCTAAAGGGTTTATATATTGAAACAGTAAATTTAAAGGTTTTGCTACCTAACCATGCAGCAACCAGCACAGTTGAGCCCTGGCGTGGATGAATGGCAGCACAATTAAATAATGATAAGTGACAGAAGATGGGGAGTCAGAGTTGTAAAGGAAGTGGGAAAGGGATGCTCTTTTGGTAGTAAGATGGACAGATGAACCTAGGTACATAATATTTTTTTTTTGATGGTTTTCAAATAAAAGGTTAATTTCAGGTTAAGGAAAGCTTTTTTTTTTTTTTTTTTCAGCCTGTGAATCTGAGCAGTTTCATTTTTAATCTTAAAAGAATTTCCAGACTGGACAAGTAATTTCAAATAGACAATCAGAACATTTTTTTAAACATAAAAATAATATTTTAATTTTCTTTTGCTGTTTTTCCCCATTTTTTTTGACACAATTTAGTGAATCAAGAACAAATTATATTCCCAGAATTACCTTTTTTCCCATAAAAGACTATGATCAGAACATTTTGGCAATGTCTTTAAAGAAAACTATGATCTGAGAGACCATCAGATTTTTTTTTTTTTTCTATTTGGCATATTTTTTTCCCTGCCCTGTCTTTCTTTTCATGCTGATTCAGCAACAGCGATAGAGCTCATCTGCCTATCCCCACAAAAAAAAAAAAAAAAAAAAAAAAAAGTTCAGAATTTGTTAGACCTGAAACTTTTCATTTAGATTTTGTTAGGCCTGAAGCAATCTCTCACTGCAATTGTTTCTCTGGGCCCACATTTAAATTTATCACTGGTTGGCTTTTTATCAACATCGCCTTTCCATGACTAGCAGGCATTGTTTCTCGGCTCCTCTTGGACTACAGGTTCATGTGTTGTTTTTAAACTGAGTCCAAACCAGTGCTTCCAAAACTTGTGGTACATGGGGCTCATGTTTTTTGTTTTTTTGTTTTTTCTGAACTAAAATTGGATGGCAAATGGCAGATATTCCTGACTTAGCCTGCTGGGCCCATAACTCAGCTCTGGGGGCCACTCACACCTCGCATGACCTCCTGTATGAAACCTTCTACAAATTGCTTCTGTAAGTAGGACCACAAGCAAAACAGATAGACTCTGAGAGACCAGGAATAAAAATGTAGGTAAAATGCCAAACAAGATGGTTTTCAAACAGCTTTTCAAACTGAGGATGGTGTATTTATCACTGGATTTAGGCAGTACCTGGCTTAAAGGTTTTTACTCCTGATCACATAAAGCAGCATTTTTGTCCTTCCTGCATTTTTCAGGCTGAGGACAGAACTAATGAAAAACTTAAATGAAGCACTGTACAGTGTAACTCAACACTCCTTGTCTCATTTATGTTTCTTATTTGTTGCAGGGTTATAAAGCTTTGATAGTTTATGAAGGGTACTCAGAATAGATTTTTTCTAATGAATGTGGTACTGGCAAGATTTTTTCCATAGTTTTTAATAGTTGCTTTTTCACTCTGCACCCTCAAACTTTCTATTTTTCTTTCCCTTAAGGGCTTCTCTTTTTGAAATTTGGCACAGTATTGGGATTTTTCCTCTCCTTTGCCTCTTTGAAAGTAAAAGCTCTGCTTTGTTCATGTTCTTTCACATAAAAGAAATTATCAGTAACATCTGCACAAACACTGGAATAATTAACCTTTGCATTTTTATTAGAAGTAGATCTTTCTGATTACATATAGGCATTGCTGTATTAGTCAGAGTCTTGCAGTCAAGATCAAGAGCACGCACTGCGCATATTCTTACAGAATTGCCAATCCAGTCAGTACCCTAAAGAAACTACACACCATCGCCTCCTCTCCTGCCCCCAAACAGATCTGATGTATGAAAGATCCCAGCAGGTAAAAGTAATTCTTAAATATTTAACCATGAGTGTATTGTCAAGAAATTGCAGAGGAATATGCCACTTATCCTTGCTATACCTCCACGCAGAACTTTATTGCCAATGACTTTTTTTCAAAGGATGGGGGTCTCCCACATCGGTGAGGACCAGCTTTAAAAGAAAGAGTTTCCTCCTAACCTGCCATCTTGAACATTAAATACATGCTTCATGCACATGGGCTTTTAATCATGGTGTGAAAGATGAGCAGCAAGAGGTAACAGCTTTCCCTGCTGTCCTCCGTGGGTTTCCCTGGGGTATACCTGACAGCCCTGCTGGGGGAGACTCCTGAACTCATGCCTACAGGCCTAGCCTGCCCAAATGCTGGCCTGGGGCAGGACCTTTCTGCCTTCCCATCCCACCATGAGATGTGTGATTCCCTCCACCCCTTGCCTTTCCCAGGGGGTCTGGGTCTCTTTTTGGATGCTCCAAATCCAGAAGAGCTCAGGCTACCTGAGGGCTGAAGAGACAGAGAGTGAAGCCAGGAGAAGGGAGAACACTGGGCAGTAAGGCCCAGTCTGGTGCAGACAACACAGAAATTTGGCATCTAACAGGGTAATCAGGTCTTCGCTGCCAGAGGTCTGGAAGACTCAGCAATATCAGATGAAACCTCCCTGGCTCTGCCTTTCACAGGAGACTCCTGAATAATGTCTTCTTTGCCTATGGCTTTCAGCTCCAGCCAGCTCAGCCCGGGCAACTCAGCCAGGTAACGTGGTTAGCACAGCATACAATTATCTAATGAGAAAGCCCTGAGGATAAAACAATATATCTAAGCTCTCTGCAGTGCCTCTGGGCCTGCTCCTGTGTTTCACCCTGGTTGCAGAAGGAGCTCACAGCCTGTTTCAGGCGCAGCCCTCTGCCAAAATCAGGCTTTGGTGTTCTTCCAGGACAAATCCACGAATAATTTCTTTTTTTTTTTTTTCCTCACACACAGGAAAGCAAAGTTTATTTTCTGTCAGAGGTGGTGCCTTTCCCCATCGCCAGCCCTGCCAGGCCAAGTGCATTTCTAAGAGTCCTGGAAGCATTTTCCAATTCCCCAGAGCAAGCAGGCCAGGCTGCGGAGGCGGCTCCATCCCTGCCCTGGCGTGGCAGGACACCCAGCCTGCACCAGAGGCCTTGTTTCCTGATGCCCTTCTACAGAGCACCACCACATCTGTAAGAGTAAAATAAGCATCACCAGGGACACGATTTTAGGACAGTGCCAAATTCTGGCCCTGCTAGGCACGGTTTGGGAGCTGGTACAGACAGGGCCATAACCACCAGGCAGCCTGGATGCAGCCACCTGGTCAGGGGTAAAAGGGGTTTTCACAAGGTGGATGTGAGCTGATCAGTACCACCTGGCTTCATTGGCACATCTGATTTACTAGAGCAGATGTAGCCAGCAAGGCTGCAGGTGCCTCTGGCAGGCAGCAGTGGCTATGGAGGTGACAGGCAGATATGCTCAGTACATGGCGAGTGTCAGGCCTGTCTCCTTCTGACTTAACTTTCTCCTTCATCCTCTCTAGGCCAAAACAGCTTACCCCACAACAAAGGAATTGCGCCTCCTTCCTTCCTACCCACCTGCCTACCAGTACATAAACATCAGGCAGGAAGGGGACACAGGCAAGCAACTCTGTACAAGGAACCAGGTGAAATAAAGAGAAGAGATGCTTAAAATCACCATCTGGGTGACACAGACTATGCTGAATGGTGTTCCCTTCCTATACAGTCTGGCCAGAAACTAGGTAGGAGTAAGACAACTAGTGGTTCACCTTGTCCCACCTCATCCCTCTGAAGCGCATTACCACTGCACTTCTTGGAGAAGATGAGCCTAGAGCCAAGCTTTGACGCTTCCAAGATGCAGGCTGGTTAGAGATGGATGGGAAGCATCAGAAACGGCCATGAAATATGGGGAATGTTTGACTTCTCTCTTCCATGTGTTTTACAGACCAGCTTTTGATTATGCTGATGCCTACTCAGGTGCCAATGCTGAGCCAGGTGCTACTGGCTGAAGAAATAAAGGAAAAAGGGCCATGCCCAGGCAAACACAAGCTATGAGAATGCGATGTTGCATTAAAATGACATCAGTCTAATGGCACTGGCCAATACGCAATAATTAGCTGGTGGGCAGCAGGAGGTCATCATTCAGCTCTGCTTCACAGAGCTGTGTGTGCCTCTGAACTGGGTAATATTATTTTCTGTTTTATCTACCCTTTCTTCTGACATTAATATGTTCTTAATAAGCTTACCTCTTCCTGTTATATTTGTTTATACAGGGCTTTGGCCTTGGACGCCTTCCCAGAAGAGCTCTAGTGGGACAGAAGCCCCTTGATTTAAGGCTGGCAGGGGTACCTAGGTGCCTGGACCCTATATTAATTTAGCTGATATAGTGCAAGTATCTGCATGACTGAGTTTGTGGGCTTCATCAACATGAGCAATGATCACTGATACTTGTAAATTAAGGCAATCCACATGATTGCATTGCAAGGTAATTTGAAAAAAAAAAAATTATATATATATATATATATATTTGCTCTTACAGGGTTAGGATCTTAGTCCCTATCTTTGTGAGTTTTTAGAAGATACTTTGTGAGATTCAATAAGCTTCTTAAGTAATATGTTATCCTTCACAGACCCAATCATTGACACTTTTGTAACAAGCTTGAATTGACTCCATTACAGATTTTTCAACAAAATCACTGTAGTATAGTTTAAAAGAAGAACAGGGCTTTTTACAGGGCTTGGAGTTTTTGTGTTTTAAATAGAGAGTAGTTTTAATACCTATCAATTGCAAGAACAACATCCATTTGAAACAGCATGGAATACATGGAATAGATATTTTAAAACAGACACAATTTGCGTGAGCCCCAAACCTGAGATTCCAAATACAATCTAAGTCAAACACCTTAGCAAAATGTTGTTCTTGCTCCATCTGAACCTGGAGGTAATCAAAAGATTGAAGACTGTCCCCCAGGAAGGTAAAATCTCTGCTCCTATTCAAACTATTCAAGAAACAGGGGAACTGGTAGACCTGCTGTTCCTCCTTTGCAACAAAGAATGGGACTTCTGTTACGTTGAAACATTTGGAAATTAGATTAAAAGATTTTGCAGATGATCCAGTCATTAGCAATGCAGGAATTTTTAATTTGTAAAGCTGGCCTAGTGACAATGACTCCCTTAAGACCCTGGGAGAAAGAAGTGGTTCCAGCAGCTTGGTCACACTGCAGTCATCTTTTGGAAAATGAAGGATAAGAAGGCACTGAAGCATTGCCTCAAGAGAAAGAACACAAATCTGCATCCAGAAAGTGAACCCTGCACAGATTGTTTCTGCACTGTATGGCAGAAGGTATTGATTTCCTCACTCATGTGGAAATTATAAAGATGTTGTATTATTTTTGCCTTAACATTGCCCGGAAGAATCCCAACAAGTTTTGCACCCTGCAGAAGGAGTTGTTGTCCCACTAAGTGCTGATATCAATTAGGATTGGAGACAAAACCAGATGGAAGCTTTTCTGCTTTACCAATTCTGAGGGATAAGGAGAATGCAAACACAAACTGTCTACACCAGCCTCTGTTTAGATAGTTCCTCACACCAAAACTATTTCAGCTCTTTATCCTGTTACGCTGGACAACGTAAGACACAAAAGAACTGAAAGATGAAACTAGATGTTAGGTGTCTCCCCATCCAACTAAGTCCCTTACTTGCTAGACCCCAGGATCAGGCCTGATGTCTTTTCTGAAATCACAAATCTTGCATTGGCAGCTGGGGGTTGAAGTGTATCTCCATCCCAGCTGCTCCATAATCCCAGCTGCTCCATAATCCCAGCTGCTCCATAATCCACTGGTCGCATAGTCTGCAGGATTTACCTAGGAGTTGTGGGTTTGGTTTAACACAACTTTTGGAAGGGATTTCCAATTCTTTGCTGACTGTTTCAATTAATATATTACTATTACAATCTGATTACTTCCTTTTTTTTTTCCATTTATTCCTCTTCCCCATCTTTGCTAAGGAAGTGACAAGCCAGTCATTTTCATCCTAATATATAATTTATGTACTAAACATTGAACTGATCCAGGCTTCACTGGGGCACTTAATCGGATGCTTAAACCCAGGAGACAGCATTATAGTCCACCCTCTGATGCTCTCCCATAACAGTCTCACGTGTGCCTTACTCTTAAAACCTTCTGGTAATACAAATCCCGTTCTTGGTGCTCATCTCACCCCAGTCAATGCAGAACAAACTCAGGTACCTGCACAGGCACTCCCGACTGGCTGGTGGCTATCACAAACCCCATGTTCCCATCGGATCCAGCCCTTCATTTTGGGTTCATACTGGCATACCATTAATATCTGTCTCCTTTACATACGGCTGATCCACATTTTCATTCTTTTTGCTCATTTACTTTGTACATCTCCAAGACCTTTTGTCGTTTACTTTGAGGTCCTTTGCGAGCTTTGATTCAGTTTGATTTTTGGCATTCCTAATATTATTCCCTTGCATTCTGAACCACAGATAAATATTTTGGTGGGCTAAAATGGTCTGTTATTCACTTTTCCCTATTCATTCAGTAGGTCTGAAGCTGTTTTTTCCCCTCTTGTATAGCTACAGGCTACTGGCTTCCTCTACATTCAAACTCCTAAATTTCCTAATGCAGATAACTTTTACCGATAAGCCCTATGAATTCAGCACCACTTCTGCTTTCAAAATCAGTGAACTTAGTTGCAAAACTACCTTAATTATTCCCTGTATCTAAAGCTGAATCATCTTGTGACCACTTAAAGGTAATTCCCCATAACCAGATCTTCTGTAAAGCACACATTTCAAAACCAAGTTTAAAATTACATCAGTTCCTGATGCTTAAGTTAGTATGCAGAGAAGAATCTGTCTTTTCTCACGGTCAGAAATAATCTGCCCTACTGCTACCAAAAACAGGAAATACGGACTTTCAAGGTACGTCTGAAAAGTTTGTGAGCATGTGGAGGAATAAAACAGCTCAGTTGGCTAACATGTGGAGATTATATCTGTCTGTGTCTCAAAAGGTTTTACATTACAGTACAGACTTGTAGTAAAGGGCTGGTCAAGGCAGGGAGAGCTGGCACAAAAGGATCAACAAAGAACAGAGATGAGCAAAAGAGGCAAATCAGGAACAGTCAGGAAAGCACACTGGCATTTGTGGCCAAAGCACTGTGTTCTTAGAAAATTTAATTCCATCATAGTGATTCCAAATTCTCACAGCTATTCAGTTTTTGGATCAAACCACCAAAGTTAGTGTTCCTCTGCAAAGACTGAGCTTGGTGGTGTTTACCAATGTTATGCAAGAGTGAGTGGTAAATCAGAGGTGTTTTTTTTTTTTTTTTCTTTTTCCCAAAGAGCATGTTTTTCACCACTGTTGAAATCTGCAACCTATCAACAGGAAACAAGAGATTGGACTGACACCTGATTATAGCTGTCAAAGCTGAAGTCCTCTACTTTCTAAGTCCACTGCAAATCTGTTGAAAGGCACAGGGGGAAATACTGGAACATTTGGCGTGCATGTGCAAAATAATAGAGTCTGGCATGGCATCACTCAAACGGCTGTAAAATACCTGCTGCAGAAGCTATTTCCACTTAGTCCCTTCCAAATCTTTGAGAACCATTTGTTTTTGGGAATTTGGCCAATCCCAAAAGCAAATGATAGCTAACAAGTTTAGCAGTGCCAGGGAGATAAAAAACTGGAAAGATTGTAGTTGTTAGATTAAATGAAAAAGTGTTTTTTGTTGTTATTGTTGTTGTAGAGTCACTAAAGTTGTCAGCAGTCTTATTTTGCCTTACATCTATATGCTGCTTACTCTTAGAGTCCAAAAAATGTGAAAGCTTCCAGGCTGAATTATCTCTTTCCTGAAAGAACTCAATATTAAAGAAAGACACAAAGGCAACTTTTGCATGCAAGATGAAAGACGATTAAGACAACAAGGTGATGTTGACTTGGACAATAGAAGTGTTTTCAAAGCTCTTCCCCATGGTGCTGCTCCATCAGACTCAAAGAGTACTGCTATCATATCAGTCACTCAGGGTGAGGATCAAGGTTTGGTTCAGGATGTCCAGGAGCAATAAATGTTGGCAATACAAATCCTCTCCTCTCTTCTTCTCTCCTCCCCTCTCATGGTCCTGCTTGTCTTTCAGGAAGGAGGAGGTGGGAAGATGGAGAGGAGACTTTCCTCAGCTCAGGGCCAAGGACCAGCTGGGAGAAGGCACAGCTCTTCTGGCATGCACTGTACTCCTGAATCTCTAAGAAGTCGGCTCCACACAGGAATACAAAATGTTCATCCCTGCCAGAGCTTCTCAACAACAAATCTGTCAGTTCTCAACTGTTCTTGCAAGAGCTTCCCAGTGATATCATTCCCTTTTCCTGCCTTCATCCTTTCTTTCCCCAGCCAAATGTAATAATAACAGTAAACTACCAACAGTAGGCAATGTATGCAACAATCACATTTATTTTCACAAGAAGCTGCTTATTTTTCTCTGGTTGCCAAAGGAGAGAGCAACACAAAATCAAATCATGTATTCCCCATGATAAACTGTGGGAGCATGACAATAGTCTGTTTTTCAAGCACCATGAGACACATTTGGCTGCTTCTGTCAAATTAAACATAGCAGAGAACAGGAAAGGATGGTCAGTAAATCTAAAAGGGTACATTTGACATGATTCCAAGGTTTAAAATCTTAAGGAAGAATAAGTTTTAATGTTGAAAGGTGTCCTGGTTTTGGCTGGGATAAAGTTAATTTTCTTCCTAGTAGCTGGTATGGTGCCGTGCTTTGGATTTAGGATGAGAATCACGCTGGTAACACACTGGTGTTTCAGTTGTTGCAGAGCAGTGCTTGCACAGAGCCAAGGACTCCTGCTTCTCATGCTACTCTGCCAGCGAGGAGGCTGGGAGTGCACCAGGAGATGGGAGGGGACACAGCCAGGACAGCTGGCCCAGGCTGGCCAGAGGGATGTCCCATACCTTGTGGTGTCACTCTCAGCAGTAAAACGAGGGGAGTTGGCTGGGGGGCTGCCACTGCCTGGGGTCTGACTGGACATCAGTCAGCGGGGTGGCAAGCAATTGCACTCTGCATCTTTTTTTTTTTTAATTCATTTCTTTTCTTTTCCCTTTCTTATTAAATTGTTCTTAGCTCAACCCATGAGTTCTTGAACTCTTTTCCTTTTTTTTTTGATTCTCTCCTGCATGCCACTGGGGGAGGAGGGAGTGAAAGGCTGTGTGGCGCTTAGCTGCCCGCCAGGTTAAACCACAGCAAAAGGTCATCCAACTAGTTATTTCCAACTGGACTGGATTTACCATGCCAAAGAGGCTGATCCTGTGCAAAACTGATTTGTCTAACATGACCTTGTTTCTTAATTCGCAAGTACTAGTACTTTACCAGGACTTTTCTGTACTTTAAAAATAAATGTAAAAATAAATCAATTACTGTATTTCATTTAGGATTGTGAATTAGTAAGTCTTTGACATAGTTAACATCAAATATTGTTTTATTTTAACAGTCATTTGTAAAATAACACATGAGGGATTGCTCAATTTCCAGTTCTGGAAAATCATGCCTTTAGAAAGTACCCAAGGATTATAACTGAATATGAGTTTCCAATGCAGTGCTGTGGAAAATAAAGTTAAAGAGATTGTTCTGGATAAAAAAAATTAGAGTAAGGCACTGGGACAGGAAATAGCGGACTATAACTTTGCATTTTGGTGCCCATAATTTGACAAGAATGCTTAAAAATTGGAAAAGATGCAGAAAAGAGACCCAGAAAATTTCTGGAAGTCCAAGAAGTTACTTCACTCGAGAGACTAAAAGGGCTTAATGTGTTCAGTTTATGAAAAACATAACTGAGCGTCAATTATACTCTGCTCCAGTATAAAATTATTTCCAGATTAGCCAATGCTGAGGCTGTTTGATAAGCAAAAGAAGAGACAGAGGATGCCATAGAAGAATTTAAATATTGAACAAACCGCCCTTGGAGCAAACTGCTCAGTAACATCAACCTACAATGGATGAAGTAGCAGCTTCATCCATTAAGTCAGAAGCAAATGCCTTCTCCAAAGATAGGCTGTAGTCAGACTAGCTTCAGCAAAAAGGGGAAATAGTTGAAATCTGATTCAGGTTGTGAT